TTATTCTTCTATAGCCATATTGCAATTACTCTCAATACTTTTTGAAGGTTCATATGTCAAACAGCATATCTATCTTTTGATCACTCAATTCTTCAACAATCTATATCAAATTTTGTTGGATTCGGAGGAGGGAAACAATGGGAAAGGGAGAGAGAGGTATAAAGCAGGGTTTATGCAGAGGGTGGGATAGGGAGGTAGTGGGTAGCGGTGGAGAATTGGTGTTGGAAGATCCAGGAATAATATATATATATATATATATATATACATTTATAATTCTATTACTTTTAGAAATTTTAAATTTTTTTAGTTATAAAAGTTGACCGAAATGCCATTACATTTAACAGAAAGTTTAACGGAGTTAGACGTAAGTGGTACATTAGAGCAAGTCCAGCGCAGGACCCAAACTGGGGGAAAGGCCCCCCTGGTGAGCCCGAGATGGCTCCAGTGCAAGAGAAGCAGCCCGGTTTAGTGCTGGGTCCCACTAGCCCGGGCAGGCCCAAGGGCAACTTTCGCCTGGGCTTCAGCCCGAGTCTTGTGACGTCAGCGCTTGGTAAGCCAAATTTTTTTTACCATTAGCACGTGAATTACACGCTCCAACGGTAAAAAAAATTTGATTTCCGCACACTAACGTCAGCGCTGGCAGAATCCAACAGTAAAGTGCTACGTGTCGCGACAGGGACCCTTCGATGGTTTTTTTCCAGAAATCCGACGGTTCGAAAAAATTCTGAAAAATTCTGAATATTTTCAAAAAAAAAAAACTAAAAAATTCTGTATTTTTTCCCTGTAAATACCTAACCATTTTATTCACTTTCCACACCAAATCTTCATAAAAACTCATCTCCTTCCAATATTTTTCACTTTCCACACCAAATTTTCTACTACAAAATTTCATTTGTGCAAAAATACAAATGTCATCTTCCATCGAAGCCGGAGGGTCATGGACAAATGTTCGAAGAGGTCAAAATCTTAGCAACGAGGTAAAAAAAAAAAAAAATCGTTTTATTCAATTTAATGTCTTTATATATATATATATATATATCCAATTTCTTTTTTTTAATAGATTAGTCAAGGCAAAATAAAAAAGAGGAAAACCATTACACATGGCTCCTCAAGTGAATAATGCCCGCAGTCAGTTCCAGTGGTGCGTTCCGTGTCAGAAATAATGGCACTATTACGTCTTCCGAAGGAAAATACTCCCCCACGTCGTGATTTGGTGGAACCACCTCCGCCAATGATGAAGTTGTCCTTGTATTCCATTGTGTCGGACTATGAGAACTAAGAATATTTCAATTGTATGATAAGTGAGTAGGTATTTCAATTGT